ATTAGTTAATTTCTCTGGGGCTGTCTGGATGGAATTAATGTAATTTGCAGGTGAAGCCATGAATTTTGAGAGGCCATAGGTGAAATGTGAAGGACTGAATGTGCACACCAAAAGTTCGTATGTTGAAGCTCTAATCCCTAATGTGAGAGTGTCCTAAGGTGAGGCCCTTGGGAGAGGACTGGATTTGGACAAGGTCATGATGGAAATGGTGCCCCTACAAGAGAAGATAAAGAGATGCAAAAGCTCACTGTCTACTATGTGATGATCTGGCAAGAAGGAGGCCTTGTGTTACCCAGAAAGAGGGCCCTCACGCCAGCACCTTGATCTTATACTTCCAGCATCCAAAACTGTGACAAATAACATTTGGTGTTTAAGCCACCCAGTATATGGTATTTCCACTACAATAGCCTGAACTAAGACACACAGATTAAAAAAACTAACTTAGCTAACATAAAAGAGCTTCCCAACCAGTGGGTGATGACATACTCTTATGTTTCCAATGGGTTTGAGGAGTGACTTCAATTCCCTCAGTCACTGAGGTGGTATGATAGGATCTGAGGTTTGGATCTTCTTTACAGCTAAGACACTACTTCCACTATTTATCATACAAATAACCCATGTCCCTGACTCAAGGCTCCTTGATGAATGAAAATGAAGAAAACGTATTGATATTTATGGGATGCTGATACAGCAGTGCACAGAAGGAAATTTATAGCTGTAAATGCCTGTATGAAGAAAAAAGACCTCAAAAACCTAACTTTCCCCCTTAAGACATTATAAAAAGAAGACCTAACTAAACCTAAAAGAAAAAGGACAGGAATAATGAAGATTACAATAGAAATTAATGCAAAAAAATGCATCAGTGAAACAAAAGTTTGGTGTTTAAACATCAGAAAAGATAAATTTTTAGCTAGATGGACTAAGAAAAAGACAGAAGATTCAAACCACTAGAATCAGAAATGAAAGAGGGAATACCTTATGGAAATAAAAAACATTATAAATGAAAAATATAAATAACTGTATGCCAGTAAATGAGATAACTTGAATGAAATGGACAAATTACTGGAAAGATCCCAAATACCAAAAGTGACAAGAAGCAGAGAATCCGAGTAGATCTATAATAAAAAGACTGAATTGCTAATAGATAATTACCCATAAAGAAAAGTCCAGCCCCAGACAGCTTCACTTGTTTCTACCAAACATTTAAAGAATTAATACCAATTCTTCATACTCTTCCAAAAATTCCAACAAAAATAAAAAGAAATAAAATGAGAGACCACTTTCAAACTCTATGAGGCCAATATAAAATCAGATAAAGAATTAACAAAAAAAGATATTAATTGACCACTCTTACATAGATGCAGAAGTTCTTAAACTACTGGAGGACTGAATTCAGTAACAAATAAAAAGAATTATACATCATGAGCAAGTGCAAATTATGCCAAGAATGCAAAGTTGGTTTGACACCTGAATATTTAAAACATGTAATACACCAGATTATATAAAAAAAAAAAAACCCTTATAATCATCTGAACAGATGGAGAGAAAGCATTTGACAAAATCCAAAACCTTTTAACAATGAAAACATTTAACAACCTATAAACAGAAAGGAACTACCACAAATTGGTAATAGACATCTACAAAAACTCCAGAGCTAGCATTATACTTGATGGTGAAAGATAGATGCTTTCCTACCAAAATCAGGAAGAATGCAAGGAGGTCTACTCCTGCCAATTCTATCCAATATTGCACTGAAGGAGACATGGCAATTAGGCAATCAATCAAATAAATAAATGCCATCCAGATCAGGTAGAAATACAATTATCATTATTTGCAAATGACATTTCATATAAGGAGAAATACAATAAATCCAAAAAAAACCCCATTAGAATAAAGTTCAGCAACGGTGTAGCATAGAGCATATAAAAAATCAGTTATTTTTATATTTTATATATTTATATATATTTTATATTTTTATATATAACAATCCCCAAATAATTTCATTTATAATAGCACCAAAAATAATAAGTTACTAGGAATAAATTTAACCAAAGAAGTGCAAAACTTACACTTTGGAAACAATAAACTATTATTAAAAGAAACAAAAGACCTAAATAACTAGGAAGACATTACATGTTCATGAATACGAAGACTCAACACTGTTAAGACTGCAATAATCTCCAAATGGACCAGATTCCACACAATCTCTATCAGAATCTCACCTGGAGATATTAGCAAAATCTTTGCAAAAAATGACAAATTCACCCTAAAGGTGAATGGAAATTCAGAATAGCCAAGATAATCTCAGAAAATAATGTCACTGGAAGACTACCACTTGTGATTTAAAACATCATACAAAGCAAAACAAAATAAAAACACACTTTATACAAGGCAATGGTAATCAAAATAATGTGGTACTAGCAGAAGTACATCAATGAAATACAAATGAGGTCCCAGAAATAAACCCATGTATATATCTATGGTAAGGTGATTTTCAAGAGTAACAAGAACACAATCGAAAAGGAATAGTTTCTTCAACAGAAGAACTGGACAACTGAATTGCGAAATGAAATGAGAAGTTGAACCCTTTTATCGTATTGTGAACAAAACTCAACTTAAAATGCATCAATGACCTAAATGTAAAAGGAAAAACTATGGAAGTCTTGGGAGAAAAACATGGGGATAAGTCTCTGCGACTATGACTGGGCACCAGATTCTTGGATAGGACATCAACAGCACCAACAAGCAACAACAAAAAAATAAATTGAGCAACAGCAAAAGGCAATAACAAGGAAATAAAAGTACAAAACACATAATAGGAGAAAACATTTCCAATCATATATATAAGGATTTAGCATCTAGAATATGAAAATAGCTCTTACAACCAAAAAGAAAAATAACTCAGAAAAAAAGGGGGGCAGGGAGCAAAAGATGTGTATAGACATTCCTCTAAAGAAAATCTACAAATAGCTAATCAACATATGAAATCAACATCATATATATATATATACCTAAAACCTTTGAAAACAGGCACTCAAACAGAGATTTGTACAACTTTAGTTATAGCATTATTCATAATTGCCAAAAGGTGGAAACCCTAGCATCAAAAATCTAGATGAATGGTGAAACAAAATGTGTATACACACATTCTCTCTAGACTAATATTCAGCCATTAAAAGGAATGAAGTTCTGATCCATGCTGCAAGATGGGAGAACCTTGAAAACATTATGTTAAAGGAAAGAAGCCAGTCATGAAAGAGCACATAGGATTCTATTTATATGAAATGCCCGGAATCGGCCAATCTACAGAGACAGAAAGTGACGTAGTAGTTGCTCAGGACGGGGGGAACTAAGACTGACAGGAAAGAGGTACAGGGTTTCTTCTTGACGTGATGAGCATGTTCTAAAAGCGCTGATGGTCGCACAATTCTGTGAATACACTAACACAGCTGTCCTTTAAAACAAAAACCAAGCCTCTCCCTTGACTCCATATGCCTGGCCAAAACTGGCCCCTATAGATTTCCTTCTATCTCCACAGCCTTCTTTTAGGTTTAGAGAATCTCTTAAAAGAGTTGTTTATCCTCATTATTTTTACCTCATTGTCATAATGTAACTCAACTCTGTTTGCCTGCAGGAGTAAATACTACACCCTTAAATATTTACTATGACTCAGTCATAAAAAATAAGTGCAAACAACTGAACTAGTAAGTTCTGACAGCCTCCTGGCTATTAGAAGATCAAATAGGACAAGATATCTGCCCCTTTCTCAAGGGAAAACACTACAAAGCGAACAGATGAGAAACACATTAGTCTAAAAATTAAAATGAGCCAGAAAATATCTGCTTCATATTGGGTTATCCAAAAGATTTGCTCAGCAAGTGAGGTTTATGTTCAGAATCTTAATATCAAGGATCCAGCCGTACAAAGGCAAGAAAGTAGGCAGGCAGAGGGGAAAAAGCAAGTTCAATGGTAACAGACAGAGATGTTTAAGGAACTGCATGAAGTCTAGTAACTGACCAGGGGAACAGAGGGTCAAGGCAAGGTCCCAAAGGTAATGAGGGGCTGGTCAGGGGCAGACTTGTATGGCTTTTTATAAGGAAGGGTGAGAAGTTGCAAATTGCTTCTTTCTCCATCTACTCTGTGCACATCTGTCCTGTTACACTTCAATTTGTGTCCCCACCTAAAACTGCCTGCCTGCCTACAGTAAATGAAAGGTTTTACTCACCACTATCTAACCATACCTAGCCAGGATCTGAACCAATGTTTCCTGTATGATTAGGCCCATCATCATGCTGTGATGAGACAAAAACCCTAAATCCTGAGGAAGGGGAAAAAAAATTCTCTTCCACAGGCAGTGTACAAATGACAGCCGGGCAATTTTCACTCAAATTCCTCAGACTAGCCTGGTTATTTCTTGCAGAGACTGTAATGTTTCCCAAGTTTCAGCTAGTTAAAAAGAACATCTTCCAAACTTAATTAAACTCATTCCCAGAATTTGAAACATAAAATTGCCAGCAAAGAACAGCTTTAGCTTCTCTGATTACCATGTGGTTGTCATTAACTAGTTCTCTAACTCAAGGCTATTCTCTAAATGTTCTAATACAGTATGCAAAATTGTATCCACCTCAACATAATCAGTGTTAGAATATATGGAAATCGAAAACCTATTAAGTTACCATTCTAGAAACTGAAATAGGATCAAGCACTACCTTTTAAATAACACTTGATAACACGTTTTCCTTTTAAATGACTTACCAACATTTAATTGCCTAATAATTAGCTTCTCATTTGCATGTTAGATTTTCCATTTGTACTACACAGGGATTCTGCTACAGTTCTAATTACGGCATCCTTGTCTAGAAAGGCATACGATAATTCTAGCACAGTTCGGACAAGCCTAGCCAAATAACAGTTTGAGTATAAAACCACACAATGCTGCAAATAAATACACCAGGTTTCTTTGGAAGGGGAGAATTTTTTTTTTTCCCCAAGTGGCTTACTGTGGCCTTGAGGCTTCAGCCTGGTCTGTCTGTAGTTTTTCTCCTCCTTCCACTTCCATTGTACAATAAACAATTCGATTGGGAGCAACAGACTTCAAACCTTGAACTTCCATGATGACAATCTAAAAAGTAAAAAATAAATAAATAAATGATACATCAGGTTGGTGGCATTTAGCAATACACAGAGATAGCAGCATCGACTACAATTAGAATGCCCAATTAAACAAATTATCTGGTAATGATGGTACTTTATCTTCCTTATAACCCACCTGCATTCATGGAAGGTATAATAAATAACCTTCTGAAGAAGTCTAACATTGACGAAATCTCTCCTGCCAGCTATTAAAGTAAGGTAAAATGTCTAGATATAAGCCCTAGTGAATGAATAAGTGAGGTACAAACTGAGATCCTTAAAAAAATGGTGGCAAGTTTGCAGCAGGTAAAGCAGGATGACAATGAAAAATCAGTGAAGGTGCTAAAATGAGAAGGAGGCGAGTTCCACGTGAAGTGAAATGCTACCTGAGGGGTGCACATCATCATCATACCAATTCAATCAGTAGGGGACATCAGAACTTTCTATATTCACTTAGTTCAGATGCCTAAAAATATTTATAAAAGAATATTCATCACAGCAAATGTATATATGATGCAATTGGAAACTTTAACTTGCCAGTTAAGATCTTCCTACTAACTTGACAAGGAAAAAATGACTTTTCCAACCATTAAAAATATGTGCTAATTTGAGGCAGTACACTGGAAAAAGGTAGAAGCTGATATTATTTTATGCATCTGTAACTCCTGGAAAAAGGAGAAACAATTTTTTTCAAGTGATCTTTTTATATTTATATAAAAGGCTATTGATCTTAAAACATTGTAACCTAATGTTTCCACTGGGTGTACCCATAAAATATATTATTTGCTATAGTTTTTTTCAACCAAAACTTGTATCCTAACGTTTCCTCAGTTCTCAAATCTCATAAAATATATTCAATGGCATTTTATAATATGCACATTCATGTCTTTATTGATCTCATGTTGTATTTGTACAAACAAGATTAATAGCATTCATGCCATGTAGCTACCAAAATATCCACTAAAATCATGCATTGATCATTTAATGCATTATTAAAGTCATTACCCTTTTCATTGAGTTGTGATATGAATCTGGAGGCAAAAGGTCTTAAAAAAAACAAACCCTATTTTTCCTTTCACTCTCCAGCACAACAGAAGGATTATGTTCATAAATACAGATGCCAAATATTTTTCATGAAAAAATAGGAAACTAATCACTAAAAAGGTCAAACTCTGAACCATTTTCCTTCCTCAATCAAGACTTCTGTCATTTTATTGCAATGAAACACATACCAAGGCACGAATAAAAATAAGGACTTAATTGAAAACAGACTAAGAACTAAAGATAACAGAAATATCTTTCACCGTTGCTCCAATACATTCAAGGAAGTTAAAGTATAGCACTTCATCTCATTGATGGAAAGTAAACAAAAGAAGGTATATGTTCCTAACGAATCAACTTTGTTGTTAGTCATTTTGAAACTCATTAGAACTAAGCAGAAGCTGAGAACAAGAGATATGTAACCATACCAATCAAAAGCCAACTCCACACGGACTTACCACCATGATCCTAACGACTTTTTTTTTTTGGTCATTTAAAACATTTTTTTAAGTGTGAGAGAGACCGAGCATGCACAAAAGAGACCAGAGACATAGGCAAAGAGAAAATTCCAAGCAGGCTCCTCTCTGTCAGAATAGAGCCCAATGTGGGGTTCATTCTCACTAACTGTGAGATCATGACTGAGCTAAAACCACAAGTCAGATGCTTAACCGACTGAGCCACCCAGGTGCCCTGACCCCAATGACTTCTTAATAAAATTTTTGGAAGGTTAATTAAAATATGTGAAGCAACAGAATCATGTACACATGATAAACTAGAAATGTTTTGGTTCCTATTTGGGAATATGCTTATTTGCACTGCATCTCTTTCTACAGTATGTTTAATAGTCAAAGTGCAAAAGAGAAGAAAGGAGGCATCTGCTTAACGCTATTTCTATCACCTCTACTACAAGCTACTGTAAACAGGACCTCCTGAAGCATACAACTCGGGAAACCATTTTCTGCTCTGCAAAACAATACTCCCATCTGTGCCAGGAAGGTTTTATTCTGCAGAACTGCCACTTTCAAAAGAAGGAACTTCTGTTTGGAATCTATACGTATAAATAAAACAACACAATTCTATAGATCTGATTTCCAAAAGGAATAAAAAAAAAAAACCCACACACAGCTAGTCTCAATCATTAATGATACAGTCCAGAATCCCATGGACCATCAACTAACCTAATTTTAGATACCTGTTTCGACCAATTCCCTACAAAATTTGATAATGCAACTGCACAAACTACTCTAAATTCCGTCTTCTCTTCCCCAATCTGTGACTGATATAATAAAGATAAAATATATGGAGTTATTCTAGAAGCAAAAAGAAGGGAGGCATGAACAAAATATAAAACTTGGTAGCATACTTCCGAATAATGCATTGTCCACCGAGTCCTGTGGCACTTGGGCCTGGGCAGATTGGAGAAAACAAAGCTGAGCAGTATCTGGGGACCATATACTCCAGAGAAAGGCGGCGCGGGGTCTGCAAGCCTAAAACCAGGGAAAATCAACTGTTCTCATGCCAGTGACCACCATTTCTCGTCTTCCAACAGGCAGACTCAACTTCATAGATGAACATCTATTGTCCTCCCCTTACTTGGACATTTAATTTTAAAATCCCATTGTATGGCTTATAGTTTTGTGGGTTAGCTGGTCTCTTGCTCTAGTATTCTCTCTGAAGGCTTCATGAATGGAGAGAGCTAAAAGTAATCACATGTGGCTAACTGCTGCTTTTTGAACCATCAAAGTCCCCAATTCAATCAATATTTATCAAGTTAACTGTATAGCAGGCAGTGTTTTACGTCAGTGTGATACCGCAGTAAACAAAACAAAGACCTCAACTCCCCATAGCTTTCATTGTAGTAGAATACGTCAGTTAATGAATAGTAAGTATAATAACTGAATTATATAGTAGGAGGTAAGAGCTGTGGCAAAAAATCCTCTTGAAAACAGGATAGGAAGAGTGGGAGAAAAGAGCAGTCAGTAGCAATTTTAAAGAGGCTGATAAAATGTGAGTTTTTCAAGTCTGCACTTATCCCTGAAACCCAGACTTCAGTTCCTAGAAAAAACTTTTCCCACTAGACCAATTCTAAGCTTGACTGATGAAATGTGAGACCCTTAAATTCAATTAACTGCTTGCCGTTCAGGATTTTCTTAGGTTGAGAAGCAAAGCTTGGATAATGGGGCAGGGGTAATTATGGAGTTTAGCAAGGCTGAGGTCAGAGGCCCTGGGGACAGAGAGGGACCTAGAGGTCTACAGATGCATACTGCGGATGTAGTCTGCACTGAATGTGATCTCATTTTGTTGTTGGACACACATTTCCTATTTATAATACTGGGGACATCACGAGAAAGATCTGTATTATGCCATGGATGGAAAATACCTGCCTTATATACCCACAGCAATAGAGAACATCAAAATAATTGTGTAAGTATGCAAGCTTCTCAGAACACACAAAATGAAGTTTTAACTCCTATTCTCCCCCTAAAACCCTTTCATTATTAACTGAGCAGCCCTGCTTATGACACGGGCAATGGAGCAGAGAACAGTGCGTGGTTTCACACCGACACTAACTCACAAACATAATTTTGTTTTTAAAAGGGAAAAAAGTTCATAAGAGCCAATTATTTACAACTGTTCAAAATTTTTTAAAGAATAGAGAAAAGAAAAGGTGTTTTGAACGGTTTCCAGCTCTGCACCTTTATATAATGGTAGATTTATACATGGCAAAAATAATTTGCTTTACAAGTTATATTGCAATGAAGTAACTCATTTTGTTTCATACAAAGTTGTATGGAAAAAAAAAAAAAAACCCAAACTCGGCACATTATATCTTGGTCAGTAGGAAAATGGAAACAGTTATGCTAAGAAAATTCTGCATGTAAGATACTGCATAGTTTCCCATTAAATATCTCTTTAAGATATTGAAGAGATGGAGAAGAAACCCAGTAATGCCAAAAGACTGAGAAGAAACACAATGATGGCAAAATCGTTAGGGAACCCCAGAACTGAGGCTTGAGTCAAAAGAAAACCTATTTTGATTCTGATAGTACATTTAATCTGTTAACCTACACAGAAATCATTAGCCCTGAAGTCTAGAAAAAGAGAGGCAGTTAGCTTATCCTCAAGCCTAAATTTATCTTAGAGTTGAATAAGTGGAGTCAAGAACAAAAGCACACATTTGCTTTTTCGGCCACAAACTCAGCAAGCCAAGAGTAAGAAGTACCAACAGGGAAATTTAAAATGGTACTTCCTAAGACTCCATGTACTTTTCTCTATCAATCCACAGAGTCAAAGAGCAGTACTGGGTACCAGCAAACAGACAATTTAACAGTGCAAGGAAGGAGTTAGGATTTTTAATTTTCGAGAGAGCTATAAATTTAAGCTTGATGTTATACATGTGTGTTATGTATAAATGCATAAACATATCACATGGATTAGCTCAAATACACAGATTAGCAATGAAAAAATGTAATGATGAAAAACATCAGCAAGTGGTTGTGGTAATAAGTCTGTATCAGTATCTAGTTTCCAGTGAACTGTATAGAAGGGATGAAACTCTGAAATCTCAGGAAACACAGTATTATTTATCTTTTTTAAAGTTTATTTTTGAGAGAGAGAGAAAGAGCACACGTGCACACTCACGAGAGAGGGTGGAGTTTGTGGGCAGGGAAGGGGCAGAAAGTGAAGGAGAAAATTCCAAGCAGGCTCTGCATTATCAGTGCAGAGCCCAACACAGGGCTTGACCCAGGAACCAAGAGATCATGACCTGAGCCAAATCAAGAGTCAGACACTTAAACTGATAGCCACCCAGGTGCTCCCCGGGAAACACAATTTTAAATGCATGACATCTGCTTCTGTTCCTTAAAATATTATCTATAATGAAAATGGACATCCTGGAAAGGAAGAATTCTCTACTTATCATCTATATTCACCCAATATTGTGTTTCAAAGCTGGATGGTGTGACTTGATTTCAGAAAAACACAAGTGAGGTAGATTAAAAACACAGCTAACCCAAAGCCTGAAAGCAATTACCAAATTACAGAGCATCAAATTTTGTGTTTAAAGAGTGCTTTGGTGTTCAACTTTATCAATAAACTTACACCAGCCTAGTTGGCACAAAAAGACCTGCCTCAAAACTTAGTATTTTATTATTTAATCCTAAAACTGCCATTATGTTTAAAGAGCAATTTGCATTAATTTGCATTCACAACCTGATTGTCTAGCAAATGAATAATGTAACTTCATCAAAATATATTACACTGCTTTAAATTCAGAAAGTTACCTTGAAGGTCAGCAGAAATTATTTTGCAGCCCCATTTAGGCTGTCAGAGGTGAGCATGGGATAAAGCCACTTACCTCTAAGGTGAATGACAGGACGACATCAGATTTTGACAGCTGAATCTCATTCTCATCTCCTATGTCCAAAAAGGCAGAATTCTGCGAACGTTTTAATTTTTGTAATTTAAATTCTGGACCACCTTTCGAAACTGGAAGACTTTCCAAATTGGCCATTAGCAAGTTCACTGAAGATCGCAACTCTTCTATATACATACTCTCCATTTCTTTTGCTATAAATTTGGGGAAGTTTCTTTCCTTGAAAATAATTTTAAAATGAGAATGTTACAAAAGATATATTTCAATTTTATCATAAACGATAACACGGTGTATATATTTGACTCTCTTAGAAACTGTGATACTCAATATAAATGCATCTACCCAAAACTTTAGTCTCCAGCTTTTAAAATTGTCAGGCTTTAGCACTTTTGATGATGTCTACCTTATATCCCTTGTTTAGGATCATCATGATACAAAATGAATAGCATTTTCATATTAACTTTCTTTTTGATAAGGTTTTGCTTAAAGAAAATCTGAAAACTTACATGAAAGAAAACTTAGTGTCTAGATCAATATTAATTAGCCACAGTTAACTTTGAAATGCTTGGAGTAATTGGTTGGTAAGAAAAATATTCAGTATACAATACAGTTTTCAATGCCTTGCCTGTTAGGAAACAAACATTTTAAATATCTCTATTACCACAGATGTGTAATATTAAGAGCACATCCTTTTTTATAAAATCAGCATTTAAATTAAATTAAGTATCAAGATATTTCTAGAATTTTCATATCACACAAATGTGACCAATCTCTTACAACGATAAATTTGGTTTTTTAGGAAAGGTTTAGAAAATTTTAAGTTTAAAGCAAAAATGCCAACTTATGAATAGAGCCGTACATATATAAAAGAATAGTATCAACTTAGAAGAATCATTTTCTTTCTGATCACATGAGCATTGCCATTCGATCCTGCAGTTGATCTCTGCAATTCAATCCCTGTAATCAGATGTTGGTTTCTTTCACCCCACAAAAAGGACATCCTAAATGCTGGTATTTAAAAAGATATTGACAGGTACTGTCAAATTGCCCTTACAAAAGATTATGCCCATTCATATCCCTACAAACAGCAAAATGAGGCTTCCTCTCACTACTGGTTCTTTTTTTTTTTTTTTTACTGTTTTATTTATTTCTGGGAGAGAGAGAGACAGTGTGAGCAGAGGAGGGTCAGAGAGAGAGAGGGAGATACAGACTCTGAAACAGGCTTCAGGCTCTGAGCTGGCAGTCAGCACAGAGCCCGACGCGGGGCTCGAACCCACGAACCGTGAGATCATGACCTAAGCGAAAATCGGACGCTTAACCAACGAAGCCACCCAGGCGCCCCTAATGTTTTATTTATTTCTGAGAGAGAGAGAGTGTGAGCAGGAGAGGATCAGAGAGAAAGGGAGATACAGAATCTGAAGCAGTCTCCAGGCTCTGAGCTAGCAGTCAGCACAGAGCTTGATGCGGGGCTCAAACCCACGAACTGTGTGATCATGACCTGAGCCAAAGTCAGACTCTTAACCGACTGAGCCACCCAGGCGCCCCCTACTACTGGTTCTTTTTTAACCTTTGACAATTTGGCATTAGCTCTTCCCTTAGAGATAGAGTTTATAATGATCTCAAGTATGACGTACCATGTTGACTACTATACAAAAGAGGCTGGGAATGAAAGCCTAAAGTAGCCACCTTTCAAACAGCTGTTTAATGCTCCAGAAAAGCAGTGCCTTTCTTACAGTTTCCCTGGGCATCAGAGCCTAACCTATGAAACTCTCGTCTCTGGGATACCTGGAACACAGCCAGAGTGCTCTGGTCAACCAGCACCTCACCTGTGACTCACGTGCCCTAGTTTGTTCAGGAGATGGAAAGCAACACCTGGCACCACTTCACAAATCAGTCCCAGTGTCCCGAGCCACCTGTTTCTCATCTCCCCCCAATAGAACCTTCACATACTTCTTTTAACACAATTTACATATAATCAATATTAAAACTGCATATTTATCACATGGTAATTAAATATCCACATTCAGAAGTAACTTTTGTAAGGAAGATTTTTAAGTACCCTTTCAACATCCCTCTAGAGTCGGAAGCAACATCCCACAACAGTCAGTTTGCAATTCCAGGAAAACACATAGCCATTCAGTTACAGAATACCCTGGTTTCCTTTGGGAGGGGGGGGGAATGTTTTGGAATGGTTTCTCAATGTATGTAAAAGAAAAAGAAAACTACAAGCAAAATAAGCCGTAAAAATAGATTTATAGATTTGTGCACTGACTTTGAAAACTGTTATGAAAAGTAACCAAAACTTAGAAATAAGGTAAAGGGGTGAGGAGGGAAGGTCCTTTTAATGTCCTGTATGGGTAAAAGGCATCCAAGGCTCATCTGAGGAAATATACTTAGTTCAATTTACTGTTTATTGATGGAAAGTCTCAGGGGCACCTGGTTGGCATGATCTCTCAGTTCGTGAATTTGAGTCCCACATCAGGCTCTGTGCTGACAGCTCAGAGCCTGGAGGCTGCTTCAGATTCTAGGTTTCCATTGCTCTCTGCTCGCACTCCCCCACTTACACTCTGTCTCTCAAAAATGAATAAACATTAAACAAATTTTTTTTTAAGTCTCAGTGAAATTACACATTACCTTACAGAATTTTGTCTGGAAAAGATGCAAATAATGTGTGTCTAGTGAATAAGATAAACTAACGGTTATAGTTTAAAACTTTGTTGGAAATTAATCACTTTCAGATCTAATCCATGAATCTCATTTTAACCTTGGCTAAAAGCACCTAGTTTTAATATGTTCTTGAGGATAGTTTTAGCATATAACTAGCTGGCACATGCATTATGCTTTCAATGAAATGTTTACTGTGTTCATTTTATATTTGTAGGAGTCATAATTTTGGCTTTAAAAATTTATTTTAGCAAAGCAAAAAAAAATTTATCTTCTCTGAAAGTCTGCATGCACCAATGATTTTTAGTCAAATATTTAAGCTGATATTTTATGGAAACCTTAGCATTAGCATGAAAAAACCCTACTCTTATTTAGCTTTAGTTAAAAACACTTACTTCATTCACTATCACTTTTTAAGGAGGAGACTGGCAGGAATCACCGAAAGTGACAGTTTTATCAGCATTTTCCAACTTTTCAAGAAATGGACTATACTCGATTTTTTTTTCCTCTCTGGGAGAAAAGACAGATAATTCTGCTTTCATGCTCTGAGGCTTATTAATGGTATTTCATCAACTATATTTAGCCTGCTTATGTTACTTACCTCTTTCTTGGAAACAAAATCAAGGGTACTTCAGGCAACTATACATGTTAACCTTGATCTGTTAAATTAGAGAGGAGTCAGAAATGGGTTATTCTCTAATTTAACTGTGAGTTACTCTTATGAACCATGGTTTAAAAGTTCTAATTTACTCGCTCATTAGCAGCACTAACACACGATATATGTGAAAGTGTTTGCTCCATAAAAAAAATTCTCAGTATTCAAATTTAGTCACTTTTTAAGTGCTCCTAACCTTCACTAGAGGAAGCCTGGACCAGACTAGTAGGTGGAAGATGGAGACAGCTGTCAGATTCTAGCAATACTTTGAAGACAGATGCAAATGGGTTTTCTAATAAATATGTCATAAAGCACGAGAAAGAGAAGGGAGTCAGAGATGGTTCCAAGTTTGTTTGGTATAACCAAAAAAGACAGTTCTGCCCAGAACTGGCCAAAGCTGACCACTTAACTGGAGATGTTAAGCTCCCTCCCCGCCTCCACACTCCTGACTCCACCTTGTCGTTCTTTTCTAAATAGCAAATGATCACCAATATAATTCAGTTACATGGAACGCTTACTGCTTATTGTGAGGGTCTCCCAAATGCAAGCTCCATCAGGGGAGGGCAGAAATACTTATGTCTGGTTTTATTCCAAGACAACTACACATTTGTCTGGATGTATTCCAAGCACCTACAACATTGCACAGCTATTTTAGCAGGTGTTCAATAAACATTTATTCATTGCATCTCTGGATGGAAAACTTCAGGCTCCAAAAAGTTAAATAAACTCACCTAATGTTCTGTATCTAGGAAACAGCAATCATGGATTTGCCTACAGGTTTTTCTGGGTCAGTCCACACCTTTCCTACTACTTCCATATTATACCTTGGCTAAAGTATTAAGTATTTCTATCCCTTCAAAGAGATTGCCCGGGGGCTTGTTATTATATTGTATTATGAAGTGTGGTAGGAGGGGTTACTGGTGACAAATGATTAACTAAGGGATCACATTTCTGGATTTTTCAGATTGAAGAGTCAGCTGGGCCCAAGAGAGCAAACTAGGTTCTGGAGTCAAAAGACCAGGGGTTGAGGCCAGCCTCCCCTGCATGTTGTTGTGTAATCTTGAGGTCAATAATCTTCCCTCGATCTCAATCTCCTGGTCTATAAAATAGATTCATTATATCATCTGCTCTTGTAGGTTCACAGGATTATTATAGAGATACAGTGCAACAAGGTCAGTAATTATAATTAGTATTATGAATATTTTATGAAGATGGCTTACCATTGGTGAAATTAAAGTAGAAAGCAATAAAACATGTTCTATCTGCTAGGTCAATTTATTCACCAAAAGGCATTTTATTTTTAGTGGCATTTTTCCCCTTTCCAATACCACTGGCTTCATTTTCTTCTCCACACTTTATTTTTTAATATTTTTTTGTTTTGAGAGACAGACAGACAGACACAGACATACAGTGGGAGTGGGGGAGGGAGAGTGAGAATCCCAAGCAGGCTCCAAGCCGGAGGCTCCAGGCTGGAGCCTGATATGGAGCTGATCTCAGGAACCATGAGATCTTGACCTGAGCTGAAAACAAGAATCAGGTGTTTGCTTAACCAACTGAGCCTCCCAGGTGCACTGTCCTTCTCCACACTTTAATATGTCAATGTTTGTGATGAGATCACCGGGGTGCCATCAAAGAGAACTCTCTGTAGGTGCATCACTGACCCTTCTCAAGTCCAGAGGTTATAAGCCCACCCTCTCCTCCCCACGCCTGGACGTGAGAAAACACCCAAGGCTCTCCTGTTTCATTCCTCTCAAGAATTTCATTTAAACTTTATTCTAAAGCATCCTATCTTGGGCCAAGCTCTTGCAAAAGCAAATCCAATTTGTGACAATGTGCACAGTCTCAGGTATGACCCACATACACCTAGGCCATCTACAAGAGCAGTTCACAGGCCCAGAGTCCTGACCCACAGGGTCTGCAAGATCTCTCTGGATTCTCTCCTGGCTTTGGGTCATCTAGAAGAGCAAAGGTCATTCCAGTCAGTTTCCAATTCAGCTGAGGGTTTTGGGGAAAGTGTTTTCTTCTCTAAAGTTTCCAACAGCTTTGCTTTACTGGACTTCCATGCTATGAATCTGACATTTTAATCTCTGGAATGATGTAGTGCCTCTTCAGATACCCAGATGACAGGAACATGGCATGCTGTCCTTTAACCACTGCCCTTTGTGTGGACGAAACTCTTCAGCTCCCAATTCGCACCATCCTATGTTTTCATTCATCTGGAGATACTTCCTCAGCTATCTCTGACTTGCTTCTCACCACTTACTCTCCCTCTCTGCTACCCAAGTTTCTCTCAATTTTCTCTACTTTTCTATTTATCTCCAATTTCTCAACAACCTCCCTACTTTTTAGTTTAATAGACTTTAAGATAAACACAGTATTAGCATTCTTAAAGCTTATACATTATTCATAAATATATTTTTCTTTGCAAAAACAAAGACATTTAAATTGTTAAAATCAGCAGAGGATAGATGTTCAAGTGCTGGAAGAGTTCACTATCTTGATTTGCAAGGTGCTCACACAGAGTGTATGCACACATATGTTCACTGAGCTGTCAACTACATATCTGTATACTTTACTGTAGGATATACCTAAATTTTAAAGAAATGAAGAAAAGGCCCTCAATAAGGAGGATTCTTCAGAAAGACAGAGAGGGAAAGGAAGAGTCTACCACCAAATATTCAAAGTTTTGCTTAGCAGAGGGGGAAAAGATGGAAAAAAATCATTCTCAGATCAACAGCCCTATAACCTCAAGTCTACTGATAAAGACTAAATTTTCTCTTACCACTAATAAATTAATCCATCAATTTATTAAAGAATGAGGCAGATAATAAAGTTCCATGATCTCCAAAAAGTCTTAAGAAGAAATTCATGGTTTTTGTTTGAAACTTATTTACATTACAGAGAAACACAGTGACTGCACAAAATAAAACATTATATTGAATACATGATCTGAGAGACTTTTTACAAAAAATTTCAAGCTGTATCTTTCATCCATTCAAAGATTAGTTGACTCCACTATATGCCAATCACTGAGTTGGATACTTTAGAATATGTGACTTCACATATTTCACAGGGACAGTATTTTACTACCTGATTATGTTTAGTCCAATATTAAAATTCTTCTAAATCTGTCAGTTTGAGAAAATCAGCTGTTGCTTTTAGAATAATCTACCAAAGTTACTGAATTTAAATATGTCCTACCTGTAAGGAAGGATCTGCAAAATAGAGACTGTATTCCATTTAGACAATATGTATTCAGATACTTGGGCTTAAGAAGTATGCACATAGAGAAAAAAATTATAAAATTAAGCTGCATTTATCTATACAAAACTTTTTCGGCTCACAGAAACCTATGTACAAAGAAGTGTGGTGCTCCATGTCAATGTTAACCATTTACCTTTGCCATCTTCTCTGCCAACTGCAAACGACCATCAAGTTCCCGTCTAATCTGGGCGGCTTGCTCATCTGCATTATCCAGCTTTAAGACAGAAATTTCACAAATGTGGTTACTTAACGTCAGTGACCTACAGACTAAAGCAAAGACTTACAAAAAAGTTAGTTGTTAAAAAAAAAAGTGTTCTTCAATTGAGGGTCATAGCTCAGTTTACCAAAAATCTAATTATGATCATTCTTTGCCCAACCTGTCCAGTAAGTTCCTGTTTCCTTGAAGTTGTGTTACGTTGTCATTCGGCTTATTCGGTCCATTCTTCTATTGTATCTTCTTGAAGCTCAGTCCTAAGTAGTTCCGGATAGATTAAGTCTCTTGTTTTGTTCTTTCAAATTTCCAGAGTGCATTTCTGGATGGTGGAATACAGAGTAATGTTCTACTTCTTTGTTATTTTTATAACAAGTTTGTGTATTAGGGCTAACCTATAAAAGTACCATTTGATTGACTGATATAACTTCCTACCCTTTTAAGTCTTCATATTCTCCTCATTCTAGTTATCAACACACTCATACTGCCAAGAAATCCTTCCATTCTTTAGACTGACACATTAGAATTTCCATTCTCTTGTACTAAATTTGACTGAAAGAAAAGCATGTGGTCATCATTTTTAAAGATATTTACACAGAAAATTACTTTCACTTATCCAGTAAAATAATCTTTTTCTTATACAATTTCTTTTAACTTTTCCCCTCATGATTCCCTTCTCAATTATTCATAATCAATTTCCTTTATTAGTTCATTATAAAAACTGCTAAACCGAGGAGGTCCTGTGAGCCATGTAGTGTGGGATGCACCGGGTGGGCTACAGATGTTTCTCAACTTTAATTCCTTCCCCTTTCCTACTTCTGTCATTAAGAAACCTGGACCACATAACACAACTGTACTATAGTAAAGGTCTACCTGCAGATTGGATTGGTATGGAGTACAACATTAAATGCCTAGGAAATATATGGTGTATTCTATTTGCTGAAGAACTACAACTGGGCCAGATTACATACTTTGAAACAGCCTTAAAAAAGAAAGAAAGAAAAAAGAAAAAAAAAAACAGCCTGAAAAAGAAGAGTAGGGGCAATCCAGGTCAACAGGATGGTGGTATCAAGACAACTGTAAGGAATCAAGAAAAGGGGAAGAGGTCCAGTAAAAGGGCACCAAAAGTTTGGAGGGGAGATTAATACTCTTGGTGGTAATGGATGGGGACAGGGGGCGGGCCGGGAGATGTACATGGCAGATGAAGCTGGAGAGAGAGCAGCTACGTCATAAATCACTCTTCACAGCCACATTAGGGAGTCTGGAGTTGGCTTCTACAGCAGTGAGGATTCACTGAGAGGTTTTAAACAGGATTTTGGAAAGATCACTCTGTCTCCAGAACTAAGAGCAGGTTAGAGGGACATAGGAAGTCTGTTGTTTATTCATTAGAAAGACAGATCTGGAGTTACTTTCCAAAAAAAAAAAAAACAAAAACAAAACGATTCCAGGGCTCAGTCAGTTAAGGGTCCGACTTCGGCTCAGGTCATGATCTCACGGTTCGTGGGTTCAAGCCCCGCATCGGGCTCTGTGCTGACAGCTCAGAGCCTGGAACCTGCTTCAGATTCTGTGTCTCCCTCTCTCTCTCTGCCCCTCCCCTCCTTATGCTCTGTCTCTCTCTCTCAAAAATAAACATTTAAAAAACACTTTTTTAAATGCAAGGTAACAAAGGCACCTGGGTTCAGTAGGTTAAGTGTCCCACTTCGGTTCAGGTCATGATCTCTCAGTTCATGGGTTTGAACCCTGCGTTGGGCTCTGGGCTGACAGTTCAGAGCCTGAAGCCTGCTTCTGATCCTATGTCTCCCCTTTCCTTCTGTCCCTTCTCCGCTAGCAGTCTCTCCCCTCTCTCTCTCAAAATTAAACATTAAAAAAAAAAAAAAAAAGATAAAATGCTGGGTAACAAACACCAGGGCACCTGGGTGGCTCAGTTGGCTGAGCACCCAACTCCTGATTTAGGCTCAGGTCATGATCTCACAGTTCTTGAGATTGAGCCCCACTTTGGGCTCTGTCCAGAAAGCACAGAGCCTGCTTGGGATTCATAGTTTCTCTTTCTCTCTCTCTCTCTCAAAATAAACAAAGGAATATTAAAATAATAAAAGAAAAAAAAATAAAATTCTGGGAAATGCCTATTCTCTACTGCCTGGCCTGAGGTAGGAGATTAAATGAGGATATGTGGACTCTGGAGATCATGGCAGGCTGCACCCCACAAAGACACCATCTTTAAACTTCATATTCTTTTAAATTCTTGATTTCAACACTTTGTGACAATAGATGACTTAACTCACAGATGCCCTTTCCTGGCACAGAATACTTTCCCAGTCTTTTAAAGAGAGTCATTCAACCCTGACCATAACAGATGCCCAAATGTATCTTTATTCTCTGCAATGCCCCTCGTATCCATTACAGAGCATTTTCAATTGTCAGTTGAAAATTATCAATTTCAATTACCAGTTCAAAATTAGTTACTACTTCAATTATCAAGATATCTTTCTGGAATGGCAAATATTTAGTACAGGAATTGAACTTTTATTTCCCTCCTGTTTATTACACAGAAATTACTGTTTCCACATTCAGAATCCTCTGGCACAGAAGATTTTCCAGGTCTTTTAAAAAGGGTCAATCAACCCTGACCATAACAGGTGCCCAAATGTATCTTTATTCCCTGCAATGCCTCTAATATCCATTATATAAAGCATTTTCAACAATCAGTTGAAAACTATCAATTTCAATAACCACTTCAAAACCATTAACTACCATATTCAAAAATCAGACGACCACTTCAATGAGGAAAATATTTCACTAGCTTGACAAATGTTTAACACAGAAAGTGAATTTTTATTTGCCTCCTGTTTTTTACACAGGGATTACAGTTTCCATATTTAAAATTCCCTAGGCTAAGAAATTCTTAACCTGTACCTCTGGGAGTCTGAATCACTCAAGTTGTGTGCAAAATTTTGTAGAGTTATGCATTTTTCCCCCTTGGGGAATGGCTTCAATCTTATACCTTTCTCAAAGTTATACCTAACTCAAAGGAGGTAAAGAACAATGCTGTAAGGAAATCTTCGTTCTTGAAGCCCCTATCCGTTTCTTCTACAAGAGGCTATATGGCTTTTACAATAAAAACCACAGAAAATGGTCACCTCAGACCTACATATCGTCAACCTTACCTCACAGAGATCTGTGAAATCTTTGCGAAGGGACGCTAAGACGCAGACTCTCAGGAGTGCTGGCAGTGGCCCACGGTTCCTTTCCCAACTCTGTTGACCCTTTCTCACACCTACCGTAAGGCAACCACCATGAAGGCTCTGCAGCAGCTACAAACATAAGGGCCTTCCAGCAGTTCACACTTTATCTCAAAAAACAGTAAGAACAGTACACAGAACAGAATATCGTTGCCACAAGAAAGCTACTGATTGATTAGGTGCTGTAAGGATTCAGCAACAAAAGAGAGGTGTTTCCTGGTTGATTAGTAGTGTCAGGCTGGATTTGTGAAAATGGAAGTAGTATAAAGGTGGACTTGGAGGAGAAAATGCTACCCTGATGCAGCAGTCTACTGGTCTTGACTTCTGAGTCTCTAACGCTAGGCCGTCCTTGTCACATTCCACTTAAGTCCTTGGAAACAGCTCTGAAAAGAGATCTCCGGGATCAGCAAATCTCCTTTTGCAGAAAGGCCTCAGGAGGACCCAAAGCCTGTGCGGTGCCCAATTCTAGGACAGTTTATGAACATTGTATGCAGCAAAACACAACTTTACCAGGTTCCACCTAACACCTTCATTTTACGACTTGTGATATCATTCTTCCAATGCTTTAAAGACTGTAAGTATCAAATATTTGAATTCATTAAATCTGCTCAGATCTTTTAAAAAAAAAAAAAAAAAAGCACGCTTATAAAAAGCGCTTTTCACAGCACTGTTTAGCATCATTACCCTCTCCCATTAATCTATTTTCCAGAACCAGGATAAATGTATTAACACTGTCAATCACTAAAAGGGGGAATTAATAGCTGTTTTCCCATAATGATGCCTTTGTGCGTGCCAACCCTACTCAATTAGGTCCTCTTTTCTCCCACTGAAGAAATTAGTTTTCTCCCCGACTCCATCCCTCTTTTCAAACAAATTATATTCTGTCATTTTCTTGTAATATTCATCTTTATCCTCTAGTATCAAAAATAAAAGAAGGCTAGGACTTGTTATATAAATTTAGTGTTTTCCCTCAGATTAATCCACATGCTGCTCTACTGTATTTATATTACCTATAAATCACTGATTTATAGGTTTGTCTTTATATTACTTTATATTATCTACAAATCACTTTTATATTTATATAAATCATTTTATATTTATGTTATCTATAAATTACTGGATTTATAGATAATACATCACGAGAAGTAAGTGATGCAAACTTAACACTGATTCCAAAAGAACACTCCAACACTTTACTATGAAATTTCTAGTAGCCCAGTGTTTCCATGCCAATACCAATGTACATGGATTTTGCAACAGGATCTAAAATCACTGATCGAAAAAGCTTTAGGTGTTAATTTACTGCATAAATAGTGTTAATTTTCTATTGTTACTTGAACCACAAATTTATCATAAAGGTAGCACCTAACTCTACCTTCTATTTCTGCTGTTTTCTGTGCTGCCTCCCCACCCCCTCATGCCTACACACACACACACACACACACACACACACACACACACACACACACACACATTCTTGGCTATTCTAGCCATCAGAGTATCTCCAGTTACTTCTCAAAACAGTATCATTAGTTAGTACATAACTACTGGCCTTTCCCCTGAATTCCAGCTCTCAAGCTGAAGGCAAGGTCTTTTCTTTTAGGACTTTGTGGGTATAACATCCTCAAACTAAAACCAAACCTGTTCTTGGGCTGTTTTAAAGGGGCACATGCACCCTAACGTTTACTGCAGCGCTATCAACAATAGCCAAAGTACGGAAAGAGTACAAATGTCCATCAATGGATGAATAAAGAAGATGTGGAA